AAATTATTCTATATCGGAACTGCTGTTAGCAATAATTTAAGAATGATGAACTTCAAACATAGAGAATTTAAACAAACTTATCCATAATTTTGGAAAATAAGGTCCAATACTTCTAACCTCTACTGTTCACCATGTTTTGAATGGTTAAGTAGAAATAATAAATGGATATATAAAGCACAATATGATACCACCACATACTCACTATGATACATAGAGCCTCCAATAGTAATCAAGGTCTAGAAAAACTTGTCTCTTAAAGATTACTTGTAGGAATTTAATGCAGCCTTCCCTTTTATGAAAACACATGACATTTTCTTATATAAATATATATCTAAGTATTCTAAGCCTAGGTATTTACTAAAAGTAAAGTTTCTTTTTTTTTTAAATAAAAAAGCCACAAAAATGTGTCACTACAAAGACTTCTTATGAATGTTCACAATAGCTCTATTCATAATGCCTCCAAACTAAACAAACCAAATGTGCATTAATTGATGAATGAATAAATAAGTTGAAGTGTAAGACATACAGTGGAATTCTGTTCAGCAGTTTGTAATAACATGGATGTTTCAGTCACACTGCTCAGAGGCAGGCACACACGCGAAATGAGTAAAGAATGTGCAACCTAATTTAGATGAAATCTAGAAGATGAACGTCTTGTGACAGGAAGCATAAGAATTGCGGTAGCCAGGACTCTTGGAGCTGTTTGATTCTTGATGGTAGTGACTGATGAAAACAGTTAAAACTTGTTCATTGCACATTTAAAATGTATCCATTTTGTTGTATAGGAATTAAAGCAAACATTTTTTATAGAAGAAAAAGATAAAAATTTTAGTCTTAGAGATAAAGTCACTGTGCACATTCTACTCAAATGATACAATTTTTTTAATACCCTATTCCAATATATGTGATTAGTTTGAGGACAAATGGGGACAACTAACAATAAATGTGGAAACACATTAAAGAATAAGAAATTATTCCTCAAATAAGATATCATCATCTTCCTATTAGAAGAGGACCTGGCCTGAGATGAAGCAACCAGTTAGTAGCTATCACACAGCTTCCCTGACTCCACAGTAATGCAATTCATTTTAAGGTATGTTGATGATAACTTCATAAGTCCATCAAATGATGACATACAAATCACACAGAGTACATTAAAAGCAGTAGTTTCACTCTTTAGATTTTAAACTTGTTCTCTCATCATAGGTAAGTGATGCAGACTGAGGAATTAGGCAATGTGAATTTGAAGTCTGGTCCCCCCCACTCCCCGAGTGCTGTGGGACTGGGTAAGTGTTGACCTTCTCAACCACCTTCATCCATAAACACATGAAGTATGACATCATTTACATGAGATAAATCATAACATAATTTAGTCTCCCATAAGTCTAGGAACCTCCCTTATAAAACTACGAGAAGAAATATTTTAGGATGATAGTTAATTACTAGTTAAATTTTTATTACTACAATTATTGTAGCAGGAAATTCCTAACTTACTGTTTGCACTGTTTTTACTTTCTCATCATAAATAATTTCCCCTAATTTTATCAAATAAATGCCTTCTCAGCTTAGCTTGCTCCTTCTCTTTGATAAACCCTAGGCGTCTTAGGATGGGACTATGTGTAGACTATGGTCAGTAGATCTGGAAGTCAACATGAAGCCCAGATTACCCATCTTCCTTAGGCTTCTGTTTTCAGAGGGTATAAAAGTCAAAAGTTGTCTCCTACAATTAAATGAGATGTCATCTGTTGAGGAGGCTGTTCAGGCACACTCTAACCTATCAGAAAATGGCCCTACCGAAAATCCTTCTGGATAGCTTTCCTTTATCACAGATGCTTTTTAACTCGATAGCTTGTAAGGCACACTCCACAAAGCCTAGCTTCAGTTCACTCCTCCCTGACACTGTTCATCCAACCTAGAAGAATGTTATAGAGGCTCTGTTTCCAAATTGACTCAGAATATAACTGCTTCTACCACCTCTGCTGCTCTTAATCTTATTGTGAATTGGTGTCATCTTTGGAGTTGCCTCTTATCTGGCTCATTTCTACCTTTACCTTTCCTCTCACTCACTCCCTACATTTGTAATTGACAAAATTCATATCTATATCTATATATCTATATATATGAATTCATTATATACTACATTATATGTAATGTAATAAAATTCATATACATATATATACTTAAGCAATTTTGTGTTTTGATACATGTGTGTGTTGTAAAATAATTGCCATCATGCTAGCTAACCCTACACATTTGCCATTTTTGTCATAAATAAAACTTAAGATCTATCTGTTTAGCAAAGTTCAAGTGTATAATACAACACGGTATTAGCCATAATCATTTTGCTGTGCTTAGATTACAGAAATGACTCATCTTTCATGATTTTCATCTTTCATACTTTTTAGGCAACATATTTCCATTTTACCTTAGTACTCAGCTCCAGCCCTGGGGGTAACATTGTGTACCTGGCTCATTTGAAGTTGACCATGTGAAGTGTCTTACATAAGCGAGATCATACAGTACATGTCGTTATGTGTGAGCTTTACTGCACTGAGCATAGTGACCATGTTCTTTCACATTGTTGGAAAGGGCAGCATTTCCCTATTCTTTCCCTAGTCTTTTGTAACCAGCCATTAAATCTGTTTTTCTATCTTGGCTCTTGTGAATACTGCTGCAATGTACATGAGGATGTAATTTTTTTTTTTGAGGCACTGATCCCAAAACACATTTTGTACTAAGGATCTATTTTTTTTTTCAACAAAGAATGTATTCTTTGTTGGACTATGTAATTTTATCTAAAGGCCTTTTGTTTTCTTTCCTTTTGTGTTTCTACAAACTCAGGACACAGTAGTATCGACTGCTCTATTTTGGCTACTGTATCAAAGTACTGTAAATTAGGTGCCTTTTAAGTAGCAGAGACTGGTTTCTCATATTTCTGAAGGGTGGAGAGTCCAAGGTCAAGATGACAATAGAATCAATCTTGGGCATCTTTCTTCTCACAGAAGCACCTAATCTATGCCCCATATGTCTAATGACCTCCCTTATAAAACCACCAGTGCCATTCATGAAAGTTTGGCCATCAAGACCTAAGCATCTCTAAAAAAGATTAGTAACAAAACCCTCAATGTTAGGATCACAGCATAGGAATTTGGTAGGGACACAAACACTCAGAAATTCACTAGGAAATTGAGACATTACAAAGTTCTACAGTGTCAAACAGCTGAGCTACTTCTTAGTTTGGGTTTCTATTACTGTGAAGAGACATCATGACCAGGGCTCTTTTTTTTTTTCTTTTTACCTTCTTTTTATTTATTCTCTGTGTCTTTCACATCATGCATCTTGCTCCCATTAATTTCCCATCCTTGTGTATCCACCCTCTGCCCTTGCAGCACTCTCCCCCCCCCCCCAAATAAAATTAAAGAGAAAACAAGAGGGAGAAATCTCATCATGGAAGCTGTAGTGCGACACAGTGAGTCACGCAAACCCTTTTTTCCATACACCTTTACTTGTTCACTGCAAAGAGTCATTGGTCTGGTTCGAGGCCTCTGGTTTCTGATACACTATTGATGCTGGGCCCTCACTGGAACTTCTCTTGGTTATCCTGTTGTCTTGTGTTGTGGGCATTCTGTAGCTTTGGATCTACAGGACTGGTACCTTCACAGGTTCCAGTAGATCACAGATGGGGTGGATATTGGGGTGGGCCAACCCATAACCCTAGTTCTGGGCTGGGTAATTGCAGGATTGGTCAGTCCACCAACTCTCCCTTGTCCTCACCATCAGGGTGAGCTCTCCTGCATTGCCTTGATGAGTTCACCCTCTGCAGACATGAGCAAGGTGCTGGGCCTGTTCCCTGGGTCAGTTCTCCTGCTTCCATGTCCTCAGGGTCAGATCTCCCACATGTACTCCTTCAATGTTCAGGACCAGCTCTACTGTGTTAATCACATGTGGCATAGGGGCCACCCTCCTGAGTGCTGTAGTAGATGAGGGGCAGGGCTAGCTCTCACACTCTTATGACCTCAGGGCCAGCTCTCCTGCCTGCCTCAGGCATTGATGGATTGGGTTGGGGGCATCTCTCTCTTGCCCATGCTGCCACATGATAGATGAGTAATGGGAACTATTGGTGAAATTATTATGGCCACTCCACGTAGTTAAAAGGGAGATTTATTTAGTGGGTAACTTAAAAAAAAGGGAAAGGTAGGTTTTGGGGTCTGGGGAAGGTGTATCGAAGTCCAGTGGTGTTCTCTGGAGCTCTGCTCCATCAACCTCCACTGTCTAGGGTCCAGGAACAGAGAGAGAGCGCTGGCCCATCCAGATCTCGGGTCTCTCGGAGCCTCCCTTGGCCCCGCCTTGTAGGTGTGACAGTTGCGGAAGCCTCAATGGGGGTTGGAATTTCCAGATCAAAGCTGGAATGGCTACCCACTACAGGGAACAGCTCTTTTCATGCTCACAATAGAGTGGCTGGGGCTGGCTTTCCCACACCTCTGCCAAGGGGGGTGGCTCTATTGTGCTGCCAAGGTGAGGTGCAGGGCCTGCTCTCCCAGGTGTTGCAGCTGGTGGTGGGCAGGGTCAGCTCTCCTGCCCTTCTGACTTCAGGGCCAGCTCTTCCACCTGCCTCAAGCATTGATGGGTGGGGTGGGGCCGATGACCTTGGCTTTTATGAACTCTTGTAAGGAAAATAGTTAATTGAGGTGGTGGCATAAAGTTCAGAGGTTCAGTCCATTATCATTATGGTGGGGAGCATGGTGACAAGTGGACATGGTGCTGGCTACATCTTCATCAGAAGGCAACAGGAAGTGGACTGTGACATTGGGTGGTATCTTGAGCATAGGAAACCTCAAAGCCCACTCCCACAGTGACACACTTCCTCCAACAAGGCCATACCTACTCCAATGAAGTCGCACCTCCTAATAGTGCCACTCCCGATGAGCTTATGGGGTTACATTCAAACTACCACAGCTATTAAGTTTGTATTTTTATCACTAGAGAAAAAACATATGCTATAATTCATCCTAAAAGCTTTAATGTAGGAATCCAGGAAAAACCAATATCAAAGTGAAAGCTGCCACTCAGTCTATTGCTCAGGATTAGTTTCTGTTGTTGAAATAAGTTTAAGGAAAATGAAGAAGGAAGGAAGCCCAAATATAGACTGGAGCAGCCCCAATAGTAGATGCAGAACAGAAGGACTCCAGTGCACTGAAGTGCCCAGTTAAAACCAGTTTCCCAGCTCAGCCACCTGGGGAACCAGCTGTGGTTCCACCAGGTCCACTCTGACTGGCTGAGTAAGACAACCTGGTTGATACCAAGTTTGAGATCTGGGAAGATGATTCCTTCGGCATCACCAGTCACTTCTGATTAAGTTAATTCTCATGATTCCGAGATGTCCCTTGCAGGCTGGAATGAGATCCATACTACCTGGAGACAGAGGACTCTGCTCTCCACTCTGCCAGTCCACTGGAACTGCAGTTTCAAGGGCACCAACTTGTCACTTGCAGAAACCACTCTTACCTGAAGTCTCTGAAAGGTGACACCCACTGTTCTGTGACAGGAGGCAATGTCTTCTCTATGCAGTGCTGCCTTATAGGGCTGTATGAAGCAATTCGAGGAAGATGCTGAAGAGGGAGAGGAAGGTCTTAGTGTACCTTACCTATGACCATGAAGAGAAGATGATGATGGCAATGAGGAATGGTGTAAACACCGAGGAGAGGCAGACAAAGGCTCTACATTGTGTTGCCATTTTGAAGCATTAACCTAACTTGGGCCTGCCCTAAAAGTACCATAAAAATGAACTTTCTTTCTTCTAAAAGAATATGAAAATATTATCAGATTGTAACATAGAATAGGGCAAGTCTTTAAGGTTCACAGGGTAAAGATCATCCAGGTACAGTGGCAAGTGCCTGTGGAGCCAGCACTCAGGATGCTGAAGTTGGAGAATTTCCATGAGTTAGAAACCAGCCTAAGCTTTCGGGCACTCGGCTTGCCAAAACAATGCAATAAGACAGCAAGACTCACAAACAAACAAACAAACAATCAAGCAAGCAAAAAAAAGTGGTGATTGTGGTAGCAATATTACCCGAGAAGCCCTGCTCCTGTTGCTCATCACTGCGCAAAGCTGTATTATGTAAAGCAGAAGGAAGCTGTTGTTGTCTTGCCCACACATCTGTGTCTCACGTTCATTGTGCTCTCCACCTACATCTGGACATTGAAAATGACAGAAAAAAAAAAAGTCAAATTGTGAGAGCTGAGCTTATTGTTTTTTTCCTTTAATAAGAAATTTTTTATTCATTTTACATGCCAACCACAGCTCCCCCTCTCTTCCCTCCTCCTGCTCCCCCCAAGTCTTCCTCCCCAATCCTCCCCCTATCTCCTCCTTTGAAAAGGTAAGGCCTCCTATAGGGAGTCAGAAAAGCCTGGCACATTCAGTTGAGGCAGGTTCAAGCCCCTCCCCCTGCATCAAGGCTGTGCAAGGTGTCCCACCATAGGTAATGGGCTCCAAGAAGCCCAGCTCATGCACCAGGGATAGATCCTGATCCCACTGCCAGGGGGACCCTTAAGCAGACCAAGCTACACAGCTTATGCAGAGGGTCTAGTCGAGTTCCATGGAGGCTCCATGGCTGTTGATCTAAAGTTCATGAGTTCCCACTGGTTTGGTTTGGTTTGGTTGTCTCTGTAGATTTCCCATCATGATCTTGATACCCCTTGTTCATAGAATCCCTCTTCTCTCTCTTTGACTGGACTCCTGGAGCTCAGCCTGGTGTTTGGCTGTGGATCTCTGCATCTGCTTCCATCAATTACATAGCATTAACTCTATGATGACAGTTAGGGTATTCACCAATCTGGTTACTAGGGTAAGCCAGCTCAGGCACCCTGTCCACTATTGCTAGTAGTCTAAGCTGGGGTCATACTTGTGCATTTCTGGGAACTTCTCTAGCATCAGGTTTCTGTAGCTAGAGTTTTCCTTCCTTGCCCACAGTCAGGACAAATCTTTGTCACCCGCCAGTCCCACAGCCGCTCAGATCCAACCAAGTAAACACAGAGACTTCTATTGGTTACAAACTGTATGGCCATGGCAGGCTACTTGCTAACTGTTCCCATAGATTAAATTAATCCATTTCCATAAATCTATACCTTGCCACGTGGCTTGTGGCTTACCGGTACTTTGCATGCTACTTGTCCTGGCGAGTGCTGGCAGGCCATGACTCCTTCTGCCTTCCTGTTCTTTTATTTCTCCTCTCTGTTAGTCCCGCCTATACTTCCTGCCTAGCCACGGCCAATCAGGTTTTATTCATTGACCAATCAGAGCAACTTGACATACAGACCATCCCCCCCAACAGCCAAGTGCAGACCATCTCAGACACCTGCACTCAGGCTTGTGGTCCTAATCATTCTCTATGTGGACTTGCTGGGTAAAGCCACTAGGAACCTGAGAACAGGCTACCACAGGACATACAGAACATCCCACAGCAGGTTTCTCCCTATCCCCATGATGTCTCCCTCTATGAAGATATTTCTTTCATTGCTCTGTCACTCTGTCTCTCCCCCAGCTTGACTCTCCCATTATCTTATGTTCTCATCCTCCATCCCTAACTCTCTATTCTCCCCACTGACCCCCATTTTACTCAGATCTCATCTGTTTCTCTAAGACACTTTCAATGAGCATCTACATTTCATTTCATAAAAAAAATAAAGAAAGGACAATAAGATTTAAAACTACTTAAAAGGTCACTTGATGAATTTTTTCTTAACTTAAAAATAAAAGCTCATTTTTCTAGGGTAAGATTTCTTTACTAAGAAATGACCTCTGAAACAGAGATGTGGGTAGTCATGTTAGGTCATGAGTTCAAAAATCAATGATTCTTCTAAATCAGTGGTTCTCAACTTTTGAGTCATGACCCCCTTGAGGGGTTGAAAGACCCTTTCACAGGGGTCACCTAAGACCATTAGAAAACACATATATTTACATTACAATTCATAATAGCAGAAAATTACAGCTTTGAAATAGCAATGAAAATAATTTTATGGCTGGGGGTCAGCACAGCATGAGGGCTGTATTAAAATGTCAAAGCATTAGGAAGGTTGAGAACCATTGATCTAGATCATCTCAAGATTGAATTACTATTATTTCACAATCAGTTTTATAGCTGATGATTATTATTGTTACATGTTTTATACTTTTTTGTAATTCTCTGGCTGACATAACACAAATACACATAAATCCATTTATCATACTTATACAGTTTAAAATTTAGGTTCTTGGGGTTGGGGAGATCCCTGGGCAGTTCAATGCATTTGGTGTGAAAGCCTCATGACCTGAGTTTGGAACACAGACTCAAGAATCCAGCCAGATGATACACTATGTATCTCCCACTGTGAGATGCAAAGCAGACAGGACCAGAGCCTGGAAACCTGAAGGTCAGTTAGTCTGGAGCATGTATCACGGCAAGAGCAAGAATCTACATCCACGAGGGGAAGGAGAGAACTGACTCTGAAAACTGTGGTTAGGCCTCCACACATGAACTATAACATGAGCACACTTACACTCAATTAACAACACACACATACACACACACACACACACACACACACACACACACACACACACGTATAAATTAAAAGAGTAACTAAAAATTCTTGTATTTGTTACAGGTTCCCATTCTCATCAAAGTTAATTATTATTTATTTTTATCTCCATACATGTGTCTTCCTGCCTTGCACACAGGTGTTTATATAAAATCATGCTGTGTGCTGCTTTCTGCCTTGCCTTCTCCCCTCAGTATTATTTTTGTGAGATTTTATTCACACTGTTTTAGTAATGGTTGGTTCATTTTAAATCATGGATAATATTCTAATGCATGTACTGGTTTACGTAACCAGCCACCCCTGGGTCATCTAGAGACATGTATAGAACACACCACAGAGAACTGGTTGAAGAATGCCCGAAGCAGTGCTAGTCCAATCCAAGTGTCCATCAAGACATTTCCCCTGAGTCTGGTTTCTTCTTCTTCTTTTCTCTTAACAGTCTTTTGTGATGAATAGATGCCCATAATTTCGTCTTTTTTCATTTTCCCTCCTGGGGGAAATTTTTGGTGCTAGGGGTTTGAACATAGGAAGTCACACTTACTTTAGACCCAAAGTCCTCAATTTCAGTATAATTTGGTTGATTGTTTTTCCCCCCTGTAATGATAATAGGATATTTTTATCCTGCCTTAAAAAAAAATCTTTGCATAGATGAATGTCATTAATACCATTGAGATAATAACATAGTTAGCTTTATTATTTTACTTTTCATTTTTAGACTGACAGCAGACTTTTAAAAAGAGCTAAGAAAAACATCTTTTTCTATCACATAAACAAGTTTTGTGTATACTAATATTCAGATCCTATGTTCACAGATTTCTCTGTTTTCTTGTGCTGAGGCAGACTTATTTGCTTAGATTCCTTTTAATGGTTATTAAACCAAGATCACCACAAGATTGGATCATCATTTTGGGTTTGTGCCATGGTCGTGAGAAAGCAACTTAAATTGGTTTTTGTTTTGCTTTTGTCTCTTTGAATAATTGTCAGGGAGGGAAGGGAAATGCATAAGGTCAGACATCTTTTCCAAGGTCAAATATACTTTAGCTGAAATAAGAAGAAAAAACAAACCAGGACTTCTATAAAAAGAAAACAAAAACCCAGACTTGTCATTGAAATGGAGTTATGAGATGGAGCAGGATGATAATTTAGATTTTTAGAATGCAGAAATAAAGTAAATCCTTTAAAAGCATTGACTCTGTGGAGTCAAGGATGTCACTTACCACGTGTGGACATCAGGCTATCTGTCTGCAGCCATACCTCTGCATCTTCATGCTCTCTACATTCCTCTGTGAGCCTGGATTTTTATTTTTATACAGTTAACTGGATCACACCAGCGGTTTACAGATTTTGCCCTGACATGTCTGTGACGTGTTGACTCTACATGCTGCTGCCATGTGCAGACATGGGTCAAGATTTGACTTCTTTGTTCAGTTCATTTTTAGCTTTAAGTTCTCCTGAGAAGCTTTCCCTAAGGCAGGAAAATAAAGCTGTCATATGGGAACATGAGTTTGCACCCCCTTTAACTCGTTAGGATAATTTTCCAATTATATCATTGAAGTGGCTCTGGGACCACATTAAGCTGAGAGTTTAGAATGCCCTATAATTGCTCACAGATTTCCTTTTTCTCCATTTTTTTTTTGTTACCACAGCATCCTAGTCACTACTGATCTTTCTTGTGATATAAAGAGAACAGTGGTTCTCTGTTGTCCTGGGAGAAGGGGTAGTTCCACTTACATGTTCTCAGCTAATTCTTCCATGTGACCAAAGCCTGTATTAGCTGCCATAATCTTAAAGATGAAAGACAAGTTTGTGACTATGAAGAACAATGAAAGAAATTTAGACCTTGCATCAACCATATTTATCCAAATCTAATATACCATCAATTTAAGAGGTCCTTTCATTTTAAACATCATGAAGACCACCAGTAATAGCTGTTCTCAACTGAACCACGAAAGCCCATCCATTGTAAGATACATCCCAATATAAAAATATTAAAATGAGAAGTTTCTTAGAATCTGTGAAATAGAGTAGTCATTATTTGTCTTTCTAAATGATCCATCATATACAAGGAGAAAAATGTATAGGTATGCTTTTCAATGGCTGTGGGTGCCTTTCTCCTATTTGGGTAGAAATCGTGGTAGGAGCCACACTGGTGGAAACCCATGAACTGTGGACTGGTGGCTGTGGAGCCCCCGTGGGACTGGACTAGGCCCTCTGGATATGGAAGATGGTTGTTTGGCTCGAACTTTTTTGGGGGCACCCAGACAGGGGGATCTGGATCTATCCCTGGTGCATGGGCAGGCTTTTGGGAATCTGGTGCCTGTGGTGTGACTCCTTGCTCAGCCTTGGTGCAGTGGGGCAGGGCTTGGACCTGCCTAGGCTCAGTGTGCTGACTCCCCATGTGAGACCTGGGTTTGGGGGATGTGGGCATGTGGGGTGGCTTGTGAGGGAGGGCTGGGGGGTGGGAGGAGGGAGGAGATGGGATCTGTGGGTGGTATGTAGAGTGAGTAGAAAACTTCTTAATAAAGAAAAATGAAAAAATAAAGAAATCATGGTAGGCAAGAAGCAGCTCTCTTGGGCATGGCACATAGAGCTGGGCCTTTTAACCCATAGACTTATA